GATGAAAATAGTGACTTTGTGTCAATTAAAAAGAGAAAGTTGATTGTTTTAGATTAAGTACAGACACTGACAGAATAAATTTTATTTTTTCTGAATTTTCATTAGCGTTTTCTTTTGTGAAAATATATGAAATAAATATTTTTGTGACTTATACTGACCGATTTCTTTAATATTTTTTTGGTACTGGTAGACTCTTTTTACGTAGTTTTCTTCCACATAAACAAAAAGACACGTGAAACAGCTAATCTGCATAAATCAAGAGACGGGTGTAGTGTTTTTCCAACTCAGTGGACCACGGAAGCTTTTTTAAAAAATAACACTTATTAAAATCCTATAGAAAACTGGTGTTCCAAGAAATGCAGTTTGGGAATGTCAACCAATGGTCTTTGGCACCAATTCAATGCCAGCAGGACTTTTCAGTTTGGGGTGCAGTGAAAAAGGAAACTTTATTCAGTGCAAACTTTATTAATTGTGATACAGCCCTGCTGTGGAGCTGGCCCTCAGGCAAGTCCTCTCTCAGGCTAGACAGCTCCGCTCAGCACAGCCCAGCTCTGCTCTGGTGAGACATAGTCAGTATTTGAGTTCCAGCCTGGGAAACACAGCTTCCAGTCTTTGGTGGACAAGGAAAGTGGCCTCTCCAAGTAACAGGGGCGGTGACTTATATAGACAGAAGTCTCCACCCCTTGTCCCTGAATGGTCTGCCCTCATGCAAATGAGGACTTCAAATCTTTGAAGTTTGATTGGCTCAAAAGGCATTGTCCTAATTGGTCAGAATAGAGCAGCTCTGATTGGTTGGTGAAGATGCTGATGGATATAGCTGCACAGCTCTGATTTGATTGGGGAAAGTCTCAGTCCTAATTGTGGAAATATAATTCCAGAAAATCCTTTATAAGGGTTGGCTCAGATGACAGGAACAGAGTGCAGGCAAGCAGTTCGGTGCAGGAGGCAGGAAGTTCACTGCAGGCTTCTCGCTGAAGTGCAGTTTGTATGAGAGGCCCCTGTTTAGAAATGATTGCTAGGTTCTGCTGTTAAATTTGATCCCAGTTAGCCACCAGGAGCCCTTCTAGGTATGTCTCTTCTTTCTCAGGGTTCACAGGGAATATTAGGCTTCACAGATCATGCTATGGATTAATCAGCAAATTCTGTGTTGAGTGCCCAGTATGATCTGCACGTGGCTTGTTCTAACTGAAGCCATCTGGAGTGCTCTGATTCCAGTCTTAATCCAGATGTTTGGCACCCAGAGAAGTATGGGGAAGCCAGTGTCCAATGTTTGTGCTACTAGGGGGAAGGAGGTCAGTTACTTCTTTCGGGCATTCTTAAAAGGCACTAGAAAATAGCCTTATTTTATATTTGCCCATGAATTGGTATTTATTTCTGCAACAATTCAAGGATTCAGCCACAGGAGCATTGCCTGTGTTTCCTGCCATGGGCAGTTGCCATATTCATCAGACTGACATGGCATCCATGAACTGAAATTGACCTTAAACCTCAAGAACCTTCTGATAATCTGACCACAAGTTGAAAACACAACCAGCAATTCCTTCAGCACATAATATGACCAGTCAAGCCTTCTAAGAATCACAAAGAACTTCAAGTAAAAAACTGCCTACTTAGGCAAGCAGCAGATATGTTACTATGTCCCTTTCCCTTTATCTGGTAAGTCCCCATTTCTTGTCATTATATTGTCAGCACAATTAGTTTGTTTTCTAGTTGTGTGGGTTATATGCTATTTAATTTCTTGGTTCTTATCTTTTTTTCACACATCCAAGAAAAATAACCCTTGCACAGAGCTCACATAATGACGTGTGTCCTGCACCTGAGCCTTGCGATTGAGACTATTCTGAGACCAAATTTAGTCTTCAGGGAGCTGCTAAGGTCCCTGACTTATTTTTCAGGGGAGAAACAGAATCTAGAGTTGGTTGGTGACTGGCTCCTGCAGCAACAGCAGAACCAGAGCTCAGTTCCAGGGACTCGGGGCTAAGTCCACAGCTCACCCCTCCTGCCCGCATTCGCATTTGCTTAAGGACAGCATTTATTAAGCACTTACCACAAACACCCAGGAGAAGAAAAACTAGTTCCTATTTGCCAGCAAAAGTGCTTCCTACTCCATGTTCCAAGAGGATCCGAAAACTTTTCTTTCAAAACATGAGTAAGCAGTAGCTCTGAGACAGTGGGGAGTTGCATCCCTGCTCTACATCTGGAACCAGTATAGACCCCCCCAGATCTGGTCCCACAGTGGGAAGGAGTGTGACTCTGAGCAGGCGATATAAGGCCCGCTCTTGGTCCTCTAATGTGGAGACATGGACATGCAGGCTAAGCCAAGGGGGACAGGAAAGTTCCCTCACTTATCAACACCAGCACCATGCTACCACTGGACTCAACTCAGAGAATATTTGTGGAATGAAGGATTACAAGACTCCTCTCACAGGGAACCAATGCAGAACAGAAAGGGAAAAAATTTATTTGCAATGAAACCTGCCACATAACATGGTGGTTAAGAGCTCAGGCCTGATTCACAGGCTGCCTTCTTGGCTCACTGAGACAAGCACAGGGGTGGGGGTGGGGGCGGGGCTGCCAGGAGTGTTAACTGTACAGTCACAGGGCCATGTTCAGAGGACCTGCGCTTGTTTTAATTCTCTGTTATTGCTGTTTGAAATTCCTAATGATTTGTGGAAAAGGACCTTGGAGACTACAAAGCTTGTCCTGGACATGCAGCTGCCTTAAACCTTAGTTCCTCATTGATAAAATGGTGTTTGTAGGGATGGTGGTCTCATAGGTTATTACCATAATTAAGTGAGGAAATTGAAGGTCAAGTCCTTTGCATGGTGTCCGGCACATAATGGGAGATGGAAAACTGCTGGCTTTTAATATTTCTTTTATCCTTCCTTTCTGTTTTCTTCATTTCTGTGTTTCATTTTAAAAAGTGAGTGGCTGTCTAATGAGGTGTATAGTTCCTCAACCTAAATGTTTCCCTTTGAAGGATTAGGGGCCAAGAACATGAGAACAGTCTATATCTGTAGGGCCTTGGCTGCTTCCACATTTCAGGAACCATGACCAGCAGAAGGAGATAGAATCTAAGCCCCGACTCACTCCCAGAAGTGGTAGAGTTCCGGAGTCACAAAGCTCCACAGTGAGTCCAACCTCTCCCTTTCTTGGGAGAGGTTGGTGCACAAGCAGCAGCACCAAGGGACCCAAGCAGTCCTCAGATTTCCAATGGTATTTTCCTAACAATTCCAGGAACTGAGAAGTCAGTGGAGAAGGTCACCGCTGGAGAGGTCACTGGCCTGACTCCAGAAGTGTGGCCTCAGATAAGGCCCCTTGGGACAGGGGCTCACCAGGCTGCAACACCCACACAGCCTGCCCCTGGAGCTTCCGTTTGGGGCTGCAAAGTTTAGAGAAGTGGAGAGAGATGACAGGACTGACAATAGAGGGTGGGTCTTCTCTGCCCCCAGAAACTACTGCCTTTGCCCTGGAGATAAGGCCTCTGAGGACACAGGCCATGTGAGGAACAAAAACACTTTCAATGACAGCAAAAAGCATCACCCTCAGAGGTCAGGATGTGTGCTATATGCGGCTGCTGAGTCTGTGACCTTCATTACCTTTATGGATGGAGGGGTGTATGACTCTTTTCTAATGAGCCGCACTGATTACAGCTGAGTTTTTTTAAACATCCATTTATCTATCAATTCAATTTATTCCAACTGAGGCCTGAAAGATATTGGCCAGGATTGAGGGAGCATCAGAATCAGTTTGTCATATTTGTCTTATATAGGCATCATTCATATGGTGCAAACTCATTTTGAATGTCGACAGCCATTGGCAGGTGTGGACGTTAAGTTTTCAGCACCTTTCATTGGAAGGTGCAGACATTGAGTGGGGTGACATAGTTCTGTGACATAGTTCACTGAATGGACGCCATGAGCAGTGGACCTCTCTAGCCATGACTGCCTTCTCTGGAAAAGTCTGAGCTCTAAACCAAGGCTGTCCAGTCTCTTCCAGTTGTAAAAGACAGGGTTCTAAGATCTTACAGATATAGCTAGGTAATGCTCTCCATGCCTATCTCTATGCCCATCCATACAGAACATGTTAACAATGAACAATCTGAAGAGGAAATTATGAAAAAAAATCCATTTACAACAGCATCAAATAGAATAAAATACTTAGGAATACACTCAACCAAGGATATGAAAGACATGTACACTGAAAACTATAAAACATGGCTGAAAAATTAAAGAAGACATAAATATAAAAAGCATCTTGTGTTCAAAGATTAGAAGATAAGGTTTTTAAGATGTCCCATAGCGATCTATAAATTCAATGCAATCCCTATCAAAATCATAATGGTATTTTTTTTTTTTGCAGAAATAGAAAATTCATTCTAAGTTTCATATGGAATAAAGAACTCTGAGTAGCCAAACACTCTTGAAAAAGAAGAACAAAGTTGGAAGACAGTTTCGAATTTCAAAACTTACCAAAAAGCCACAGTAATCAAAACAGTGTGATACAGGCATAAAGACAAACCTATTGACCAATGGAACAGAATGGAGAGCCCAGAAATAAACCCTCACATATATGGTCAAATGATTTTCAATACGGGTGTCAAGATCAAGGACAGTATTTTCATCCAAAGGCAATCAGAAAATTGGATATCCACATGCAGAAGAATGCAGTTAAACTATTACTTTATACATATATAAAAATCATTTCAAAAGAGATCAAAAACCTAAAACCATAAAATTTGAAATAATAAAAACCATAAAATTTGAAATAATAAAAACTATAAATATATATATATTTTTTTTTAAAAGTCCATGAAGAAACCCTGTCTTTTAAGGAAATACACCAAATAGGCAGTGAGTCAGACCTGGACTCGTGCTCATCATACCTTGGTAGACCATGCTCTCCATGAGGGCATCAGTGTGAGGGGAGGACCAGCTGGCTCTCAGCTGCGGTCCACTGCTTTGGTGAAGCAAGCTGTGACCTTCCCTGCAGGACACAGAGATGCTACCCTGTGCCCAAGTGAGTGGAAAGATTGTGGTTCACTCACATGACACATTCACCTTGGTCTTCAGGGAAGACCTTATAACAAGAGACTGCTGTACTTCTAACTTTCCAGGCTTTGTTCATCTAAGGGAAAGTGTGTTTGTTGAGATGGAAATGCTCCTAGCTCTGTGTTCACTGTCTGCTTATTGTGTGACAGGTATTACAACAATAGTTATTTTTCATTTATTCTGATGTACAGAGTTCTGTGCTAAAAAAAAAATATTATCTTCATTCTACAGATTGGGAGACTGAGACTTCAAGAGATTAAGAAACTTGGCCAAGGCCACATAAGCAGCAAGCAACAGAGGTGAGATGGACCCAGCTATTGGACTCTGTTTGGGTTATTTCTTGCTATTTAACAGACCACCCAAAATCTTAGTGCCTTAGAACAACACCCATTTTGTCATCTCTCTGTGTCAGTGGGGTGGTTTGGCTCAGCTGGGCACAGCTTCTACTGGCCTCTTGGAGGTCTCCAATGCAGTCACAGTCCATTGGGTGGGGCTCTAACAATCTGGACATTTGACCAGGATGGAGTAACTGTTCTTCCTTTCCCCATATTCTCAGAGATCATCTCCATGTAGCCTCTCTGCACAGCCTCTTGTGTGATCTCTCCAATAGGGTGGCTCAGGGATTCCAAGAGAGAGTGTTTCAAGTTGGCTGGCCTCTAGAAGGCAGTCCTGGAGCCAGCAGAGCATCATTTCTGCTGCATTCTACTGATTAGAATGAGTCAGAACCCAATCCGGATTCCATACACCAGGGCGTGAACTCTGGAAAGCCTGTTTCACTGAGGTCCTCTTTGTTAACTAGCTGCCCCATAAATCCAGAGTCCAAACCACACTGCACCCTGTGAAGGAGAGGACTGCCAGGCAGCACCTTTTCCCCACATCCACAACAGCAGCATTGTGGTTAGGGGTGCCTACACTGGAGGCCTGTGGGAACAGGGAAGCTATACTCATGCCCCCTCACCCGGCACCCTCACTTACTCTGGTTGCTCTGGTTGGCTCTCAAGATGGTAAAAGGAGAGGTTTTCCTTCTGCTCGGCCTGTGGCCTTCCCATTATTTTCTCCATTTACTGATAAGGAGATAGCCAGGAAACAGGAACAAAACCTGTCCAAAGTCATGGGCAGCATGCACACCCTGCCTGCAAAAGCCACCCTCTCCTCACTATATGTCACTGTTAAGGAGCCACCAGGGAACCATAAAGATCATCCTGAGCAGGGGAGAGCACCAGCTCCCTGGATATTTGACAGAGCCAGAAGGATTCCCAGGTGAATTGGGCAGCACGTCAGCCACCTGCACAGAAGGATCAGTGAAAAGCATTGCACAAGTAGATGTATGGGATATGCAAGGCCTCAGCCCAGCAAGGATTCCAAGGGAAGCCTGAGCATATTTTGGGAGTGGGAAAGACAGTGCAGAGCAGGGTCTGTCTCTGGGAGAAGAGGAGACATTCCCAACAGAAGGGGTGAATAAAAGATAAATGAAAAAAAAAAATGTCTAAATCGGGAGAAGGGAGGGTATTTGGGGTTGAAGCCTATGAAAAGCCTTGAATGTTGGGCAAATCCTTTCAGATTAACAATTTTTCACTGTTTCTCGTTCTATAGGAAGGCCGAGAAAGGTATAGCCGATTCTTTCTTTACTCTGTCTTTTGGGAGAGAAGTTCTCTGTCACAAGGCTGCATACTTGGTATAAGTGGGCCCCGTGTCTCCTAGGAGCAGCTCTCAGCAAGACAGCTTCAGTGAGGTAGAGGCACAGGCTTCCTGTCTCACTTGTACATGTCCCAGACATCACATCATCTCTGCCCAGGCATCTGGCCTTATCCTGCATTTGAGGCTGAGTTTGGGCACTCAGATTAATAGTTATTTCTGTAGTAGCCAAAACAGAGTTGGACTAATTAGACCCACTTCTATTTTTTATGATCTAATTAAATAATAATAATAATTTTCAGGGGAAGAAAAATCCTCTTAGGAAATGAGACAGGCAGATTTACAAAATCAATGTTAAAAATATCAGAGCGTGTTTGCAAAACTCACACTGGGAATATTTCTTGCACCTCCACTGATCTGCCTAAAACTTTCCACTGCAGACACATCTGGCCTCATCTGGCTTACCTCCAGTCTCCAACTTGTCCATCTAGTTCCCGAACTTCTCCAGCTCTTCAGGAACCCCCCACCTGAGACTGACACACCCCCCACGAGGAAAGAGAGTGACATCAATAGAGAAATTCCATCCTTATTTCCTGGTAGGTTCTTACCGGCCTCAATGGGATAAAGGCCTGGCTGCTACAAAGTTGCTCAGTCTCTGAAAGCTATCCGATTCAGGATTCCCAAATGTGCAGAGTCCAGGACAACAACAGGGGAACCAAAGTCAACCTGAGGAGAGGGGATGCACAGAGACCTGGGGCACTTGTGAAGTGCAAAATGTGTGTTCCCCATGTGGCTGCTAATAAGGCAGTGTCCTAAGCAGTAGAAATGCAGGCACGTACTCTTAATAAGGTTTGCTTTTATTCTATTAACCAGAAGCTGAGACACACCTTTGGTCACCTATATATATACTAACGTGACATCTGGCAGGATGTTTGGAATTGGGAATGAGCTAGAAAATAAAATTGTTGGGTGCATAACTATGCTAGGCCTACCTGCTACAGGATTCTCATAACTGGGGGCAGACTTAGTGGTGTATCAGAATTTGGAAGGCACCCTCTTCAGCCATAATGACCATTCCTTGTCTCTTGTGTATGCACGAAGAAGCACAAACAAATGTTCTCTTTGTGGCTTTTACACAGATGGTGGTCTACACAAACCACTCTGTACTTGGCTTTTCTCTCTGGACAAAAATAGAGGCTGCCTTGTGCTTGTAATGCTGCTGAGTGAAGATAGCTTTGTGAGTCTGTGCCATGATTTATTTAGCCATGGCTGATATATCATATGTTGCCATATCATATGTTTGCTGTTATAAACACACAAATTCATGTGCATGTATGAACATGTACAGGAAACATTACTACATATGGACCTGTCAGGCAAATGGCATTAGCATTTTTTATTGTGGCAAATGCTTCCAATTGCCCTGGATAAAGGTTATGCTGGTTTGTACTGTCCCCATACACCCTCCTATGTGTGAGAGACAATTATTTCTCTGTTTCTATCTCTATCCCCAGCCCATTCGGCTATGGGGTTGTCAATCTTTTCATTATTGATGTGGAATAATAAAATATGAAATAAAGTACCCACTTTGAAGTTGGTATGTGATGCAAATATATTTCATATTGGGTCATTCTTTTAAAACAGAAACATTTTTTTTTAAACATACACATTACTTCCATATATAGTTAATATACCAATCTTTTGTTTTATGGCCTCTTGAGCCTTCATCACACTTCTCTACTCCAAAATTACTTATTTTTCTAACTCTCCTATATTTCCTTCTGGTAGTTTCATGGCTTAACTTTAAGACATTGTGTTTTACATTTAAATGCTTAATTCATCCCAGTCAAATTTTGTAGCTACTTGGTCTAAGTTCTTTCTTGATATTTTCTATGTGCTTTCTCTTTTACTGCCTGGTTTATATTTTATGTTTTCTTTATTTTAGGTATATACATTCCTTCTGATTATTTCAAAATTTTGAATTTTATTTCTAGTTCATCTTTTGCTATTACTTTTAAAACTATATCCCTATATGAGGTAATGTAGCTTCAATTTAGATGGATTTATTACTCTATTCAACGCACTGCTATATTTTTACTTCCTTACATTACCCAATTTTAGTTGATTACATTATTTTAAAAATTCTTCTGATGTTTACTTCTGCCCTTAAATATTACTCGATTTTTCTCAGCTTTCAATGGTTCCTTTTGAACCCCAGGATTCAGTGCAATGATCTCTGAGATGCTCAACTTGTAACCAGGAGCACACAACATTGTTTATTTGAAAGGAAAATCCAAAAATGCACTTTAAAAAATTGTTAAACTGGGAAAGATGAACCATTATGGCGTAAATCAAATGACCTAATGTTATTAGCTAAAGCTGAGAGGTATCCTCATGGTCAGCTTTTCCAGGAAACAGCGCTAGCCTGGCTTCCACAACAGGGTGACTTGGTGGGCTCCTGAGGTCATGATGTGTGAGTATCTGGGGCATGTTCAGTTGAGGTCATGGTGTGTGCATGTCCTGGGCATGTCTACTGAGTTCAATGACCGCAGCACCCAGCCTGGGGACCCTGAGTCAGCCCGAGGCAGCTTTGTCACAGAACTGTCCAGTGGCCCTTGAAGCCACGTAAGGGAGGAATGTGAGAACACTGCATTGAACCAAGGCCCTGCCCATTGGGAGGGTTGTGTTTCAGTAATTGAGGCCCAGGCTAAGAAAGTTCACAGGAACAACCGTCCTGGCAAGAACCCTTCCCTTCCCTCTATCCTACCTCCAAGCATCAGCCACCAGCTCTTATTCAGGGACAATGTGAGCATATAGAAATTCATTTAGTATCTGTATCCTGTGCATGGAAATACAAAAACAAATGAGATGTGCCACTGCTCTCACAGTATTTTGAGAGCAGACACCTAAGTGACTAAAAGGCAATGCTCCAAAGGACTGCATCAGGTTCAGGGCAGGGACACCTACAAGACCTTGAGTCTGCTTTCAGAAGATACAGAGGGGAGAAACGGAGCAGAGCTGAGGCTTGAGGACCTGATAGGTGGATGACTGGGCAGTTGGAGTGGAAGTGGGACTCCTGCCTCTTGCCCCCATACCCCAGGGCCTCCACTCGCCCCACTTTCAGTACCCCCTTTTAGAATCCTTTGAGACAAGACACTAGACAAAAGCATTCATGTGGCCTTGACCAGCTCAGGCACCCTGTAAAGACTTGGATCCTCCTTTCCTCAAAGCAGCAGACCCTCGAAGACAACAGCACAGGAAGGGGCCCTGTCTGGACCAATGCATTCATTCAGGCCCTCAATCATTCAAGGTCCATTGATCGAGTTCCTACTGTGCAGTGCTGGGGATATTGCAATGAACAAACTGGGCCATTCCCCTTGCTCAGGGCTTGCCCACTAGTGGGTGGCAGCCAAGAGGTAATCAGACACAGGGATGGGGTCAAGTAAGTAAATGCTATGAACAAAAATGCAAAAAGGAAGCGGGCACTGATGTTTTGGGCAGGGTGGTCAGGGAAAGCCTGAGAAAGTGGCATTTGAGCTCTAAGTATCCAAAGACAATAAAGCAAGTTTGATGGTCAGCCTTGTAAAGGGGCCCCTGACATGACTTCTTAGACTAAGTAGCAAACTTTACTGAAAAGAGTAAGTGTCAGTTTCTTCAATCAGGCCTTGTGTAATATCTGGCTTCCTGAAGCCAGAAGTGATCAGAGAAAGAGAGTAAGTGCCAGGCACGGAAAGGCTTTTGGGGTGGGGTCTTAGATCAGCAGATGCCGGTAAAGGGAACATGCCAGAGCAATGCTTCTGGACGGGCTCCAGACCTACAAAACAGTGTCTGGCTTAGCCAGGACAACCTACCAGCCTCAGGCTGAAGGATGTCCAGCAGGCAGTTTTTCCAGGGACACTGTAACAAGAGGGCCAGAAGCTCTGTGATATGCATGTTCCCACAGCAGGACTGACAGGTATAGACAAGTTCAATAAATATTTGCTGTAAAAGTAGATGATAGGTTTTTCTCTTTTCTTCTGTTAACATTTATTTCGTACATTGTGGCTCAAACAATAGTGAGAAGCAAAGTCCACATCAGCTGAACACTGTATGCTGTGGTGATTTTTGCTGATATCTGGTAGCCAATAGAACTAATAAAATATGACCTCTCTGATGGTAATAGGGGTCTTTTGTTCCTTGGTGGCATGAATTACAAGCCCAGAATTTCTGTTGCCTTCAAATGATAATGCCCTTCTGGATGGCTGAACGTTGAATATCTCACTTTCTTATGTATGCTTCTCCACTTTATTTGATTTTTTTTTCATTTCAGCTTGCGTCACTTAAAGGAGAAACTCTTTTCCTAAATTCTAACACTCCTGATTCTCATAAAGCAAAATCTCAAAGCAGGAAGAGTGGTTATCTTTGTGTTGAATGATCAGGAAAACCATAAATGACTAGACACCACTGAAGTGGATGATTCACCAGGTTACAAACAATTGACTGCCTACTTACCATCCAGTATATGGTAACACACATTGTTAGCTAGTGTTAGGGGCAGTTTAGCTGCTTGTTTTCCTAGGAAGGATACGGGAGTCCAGATGAAGGGGACCTTTAGAAGGGAGGGGACACCAGGGATTCATGGTGTTTTGTAGAAAACTTTAAGATAGTTATCTTGAAATAAAACTATTTTGAATCATCATAAAGTTTCAATTGTCCTTGGGATTCTGTTACCTGATAAAAGAACAAATACAAATCTATACACATCTTTGTGTATAATATCTTTTCTTTCATGAGTTGCAAAACCCAGTTTGGTTGTGCAAAATTATAAATGTTTACAGAAAATATATGAAAGGGAATGATCCTGTGCAAACTGAAGGTCAGATAGACAATTAAAATCTAAGAGTAGTTTGGATTTTTAGAAGCTAAAGATACTGGGCAAATTTCATTTTCAAGAAAAGAAGGAAGAAGAGAAGAGAAAAAGAAGGAAGATTTT